ATTTCTCAGCTCAGTCTATTCCAAATTGCTAACATGCACAAATTAAGAGTTTATGGCTTTGTTTATTTTAGTTTCTTGTTTTTGTAGGCACTGTCTCTCTCTGCAGCATAGAATGATCTGGAACTCAGTATGCCATATACTAGATTGGCTCAAACTCACACGGATCCTTCTGTCCCTGCCTCTCAAACACTGGGATTACAAGCTTAAGCCACTAGGCTTGGCTATACCTTGCAGCTCTAAAGTATCTGTGAGAAGCCCAGCCCTAAGTGACACATCAACAGCGCAACCTCCACACCTACTGGGGAGCGTAGCGGAACAGGAGGCAGAAAGACTATTAATGCATCTCTCAACATTCACCAGGGATGCTATCTCACACAATAGATGATGATTAAACCAGAAAATCAGAACTGATCAAAGTGTAGAGAATAAGAGATTGCAGAGTGCTTGTCCCTAGGTCTGACACCTATATCAAATCTCTGCCACCCAAGGCTCAGGGGATCATTGCAAAAGAAAGGCTGGAAGACTGTAGGAGCCAAGGGTGGTGGATGAGCACAAGGTGACAGAGATCTCCAGGCTGCTGGGAAGTTATTCATATGATCTACAGCAATGGTGACAGGATTCACAAGACCCATGCAAGGTCAAAGGACATGAAAACCACACCACAGCAGGGGAACTAGAGATGCCCCGACCTTGGCTGAGAAACCACTGGCAAACGGTGACGACTGGGAAAGGTGGAGTTGTTTTTTTTTTTTTTTTTAAGGGAGTTATGCTACATAGGTTGACCAAGCTCCAGGGGATGGAATCACACCTGGGGACTTTTGGGGACACAAACTTAATACAATAGGCCCTAACTTAAATGACAGAATGCATAAAAACTGATGGAATGGCTATAGGGGATGCAGATAGAGGAGGGGTTCTAAATATGATCAAGATGTATTATATGAAATTTGCAAAAAGTCAATTTTTTTTAATTTGGAAAAAACTGAAAATTGAAGTGTTCGAGTGTGAAATGATTACTTCACAGCTGCAAAGAACAGAAGGGGATGTGGATCTCCCTCTATTCTGCTAACTTGCTAATGACAATTTGTGTGGTTTTATTTTGATTTACATTCTACCCTTTTATAAAGGTCTGACCTGTTGGATCCTCAAGTAGAAGGTAAACTGGTTTTTGGTGGAAATTGTTTGCATCCTCGATGATGCAACAAGAGGAATACATTTTTAAATATTGAGCGCCTTGAGAAACAATACAGGATACCTGGATATAGTAGTTCATGTCTGAACACCAGAGCTTGGGAGGCTGAGAGAAGATTGCCTTGAATGTGGGGCCAGCCTGGATTATGCAGCAAGACGCTATGTAAAAAATGTATAGTGAATAAATATGCACTAAAGTACTTTATGTACAAAAATAAAAACAAAATACTGTCAAGAATTTGGAAAGGAACATTTTTAAAGCAAAGTATCAGTATTTCTAAGTCACATGTTTTCATGTTTGCTACAAAAATGCAAAGCCTATGGCTCTTAAGCAGTCCTGAAGCACATCAAAACAAGCGAATGGAAGGACAGCTCTTCTTTAGGGAAGGCAGATGCGCACAGCACGCTCCTGAGTGTGCTTCTTCAGACCTGCTTTAGATGTCTTCCCCTTGTGTACTTGATGGTGGAAAGCCAGGCTGCTCTGTTGGGTTTCTTGGCAGCTCGTGCTGCTGCATCCAGCGTTGGAATACTTTCAGCAATTTATCAGGACGACATATGCTCTTAAGTTACTTATCTCTATAATTATGTTTTAGTAATTGAAATATAATTTAAGCACAGAAAACTACAATTGGTTTTCCCTTAGAAGTATTCAAATGTTATCAGGCTATCACCCAAAACACTGGTGAAACAAACAAACACTGAGAACTCCAGAATGATTGAAGAATATTAATGTCGGGCTGGAGGGATGGCCCAGCTGTTAAGAGCACTGGCTGCTCATGCAGAGGACCCAGGTTCGAGTCCCAGCACCCACATGGTAGTTAACAATCATCCATAACTCCAGTTCCAGGGGATCCGATGCCCTCTTCTGACCTCCGGGGACATTGCATGACACAGGTGCACCTACCTACATGCAAGCAATACACCATACACATTAAATAAAAATAAAATATTTTTTTAAAAAGAACACTAATGTCAAGAAATGAGGCTTTCTGTATTTTGTGTCTTCCAAGAAAATACTTGACACATTGAAATTCAATGCTCTCATTACACTGTGAGGTATAACATTTTATACTGAAAGGAAATTGTACTTATATTTAAAAAATAAATATGTCTTATATAAATACATACATACATACGTACATACATACATACATACATGTATACATACATCTATCTCAGGGGCTGTTGAAATAGCTCAGCAGGTAAGGGTGCTTGTGGGAAGCCTTGTGAGCTGAGCTCAATCTCCAGGATTCATGTGGTAGAAAGAGAGAACCAACTCCTTTAAGTTTCTCTTTGACCCTTACATTCATGCCATGGCATGAACCTCCCCTGCACTGCCCTCTTCCAAGCATACAACTAAAAAAATGTAATTTTAAAAGTTCTACTAGCCGGGCGTGGTGGCGCACACCTTTAATCCCAGCACTTGGGAGGCAGAGGCAGATGGATCTTTGTGAGTTCAAGGCCAGCCTGGTCTACATAGTGAGTTCAAGTCAGCTGGGACTACAAGGAGACCCTGTCTCAAAAAGACCAAAAAAAAAAAGTTCTCCTAAAAAATTACACACACACTGTGTGTGTGTGTGTGTGTGTGTGTATGCAATTACAATTACTTTTCTTTCTTTGGTTAACTGGGCTAAAGGTCTATCTTGTTTATCTTTTCAAAGAACCAGGTCTTGGATTCATTGATTCTTTGTATTGTTTTCTTTGATTCTATTTCATGCATTTCTTCTCTGATTTTTGTTATTTCTTCTTGTCTGCTGGGTTTGGATTTCATTTGTTTCTGCCTTTCAAGTGTCGTGGATTGCAATGTTACATCATTTATTTGTGTTCTTCCTGATTTTTTAATGTAGGCACTTAAGATCTACAAACTTCGCTCTAAGGACTGCTTTCAGCATGTCCCAGAGGTTTTGTTGTGTTGTATTGTCCTTTTCATTTAGTTCCAGGAATACTTTTATTTTTTTCTTAATTTCTCCTTTGACTCACTCATCATTCAGGAGTGTGTTGTCTAATCTCATGAGGTCATGTAGTTACTTGGGTTTCTTCCGGTGCTGATTTTAAGCTTTATTGCATTGTGGTCTGATAGAATGCATGGAATTATTTCTGTCTTTTTGTATTTTTTGATCTTGTTTTGGGCCCCACTATGTGGTCGATTTTTGAGAAAGTTCCATAGGGTGCTGAATAGAAAGTATATTATTTGGTGCTTGGGTGGAGTATTTGGTAGATGTCTGTCTGTTAGGTCCATTTGATGTATGGTATTGTTTAATTCAGACGGCTCTCTGTTTATTTGTCCCACTTACCTGAAGGCCCCTACTATTCTGAGTTGGGATTAATCTGTGTCTTAAAGTCCTCTAGTATTGCTTTCATGAATTTGGGTTCACCAGAGTTTGGTGCATATGTGTTCATAACTGTAATATCTTCTTGGTCGATTGTTCCTTTGATCAGAATGAAGTGGCCTTCTTCCCCCCTTCTGATTAGTTTTATCTGTAGTCTGTTATTTCAGACCCTGGAATCGCAGCTCCTGCTTGGAGTATTTTTTTTTTTTTTTTAATCTTTTCACCTTAAGGTAGCACCTGTCCTTGAAGATGAGATGAGTTTATTACAGACAACAAAAAGATGGATTTTCTTTCTTAATCCATTCAACTAACCTATGTCTTTTCACTGGGGAGTTCAGTCCATTGATATTTAGTTATTATTGAAAGATGGGTATTGATTCCTGTCATTTTGATTTCTGCTTGCATTCTTGGTCTAACTGTGCATTTCCACAGTTTACTATACCTTTGTTTAGTTTCTAGTTGCTTAAAATAGTCTTTTTATGTTGGGTCTTTTGTAAAATATGGACAATATTATCAATGACATATAAGCATTTGAAATTCTACAACGTGTATTAGGCAGCCTATTGCTTTTTACTTCCGTTCTATAAAGTAAACAAAAGCCGGTGCCTACCTTTTATTTCTCCATGCGTAAGTCTCAAAGTCACCCACTTTACTATTCTAAAGACGAATACCAGTTATGCCCGGTGCTTCTCAGTCATCCTTATCTTTACATTAGTAGCAAAATAGAATGCCCAAACATGTCTTTTGACTCTGTTGTAAATGAATCTGGCTAAATGCTAGTCATTTCCATGAAACTGTCTAGACTGATGTTATGTTCATGGTATTGTTAAGATAGAACAGTCTACTAATTGGGTCACATAAACCCAGGATAACTGAGCATATGTTTGGCTTGGTTAAGGCAGCAACAGGATTAGAAATAATAATCAACATTTTCAGCTTTCTTATTTTACCTGAATGCATGTCCAAGGTAAAGGTCTCTCCAGTCTACTCACCCACATGACACTGGTCTTTCCCAGACAGTTTAAGTTCATTTTGTTAATACATTTAAAAAAACATTTTATTATTTTTATTTTGTGTGCGTGTGTGTGTGTGTGTCTGTGTGTGTGTTGCCTGCATGTAAGTGCACCCGTGTTGTGCAGTGCCCAAGAGGACAGAAGAGGCTGTTAGATCCCCTGGAACTGGAGTTACAGACAGTTGTTAGCTGCCATGTGGGTGCTGGGATTCGAACCCGATCTTCAGAGACAACAGCCAGTGTTTTTAACCACTGAGCCATCTCTCCAGCCCCTTGTTTATACATTTTTATTTTGACCCTTTAGTGTTTATGGTGAACATCTCAATCTTACACACATTTAAAAATCTATCTTCTTATTTATTTTTCATTATTTCTTTTAATTAATATGTATCATTAGTAGTAAATGACACAAAATAGTTTTTTTTAAGTGGGAATTCCAAAAAGCCTGTAGTACAAGATTTTCTTACCCATAGTCTCCTTCGTTGATGTGATCAATCACTTCTTTATGAACAAGGCATGCGTGCTGGGAACATTGCCATTGCTGTCCTGAGCATGTGCTAAAAAGATAAAAAGTTACAGAAGAAGTCTGGCACCTCCCAACTGCCACATGAGTGGCACATTGCTAAGGCATAAAACAATTTGTTTGATTCATGTTAACCACATAGCTATTTGACTATTGGAGAAAATAAATCATAACACATGTGTTAGTTGCTATTCAGTGTGCTCTGATCCTCTTATTCAAACAACTCGTATATAATGTGGCCCCACATTCACTGAAGTTGAAAAACAAAGTCAATTTGGGCAGCAGATTTGATGTATTTATAGTTGGAAAATTTCTGCAGCTAATCTTTTTTAAGCAGCCTGTTTTTATGTATACTTATTATGCCATAAAAACATAATTGTCCTGCAATCTCAAAATGTTTATAATTTAGTAGTATGTTTATGAATACTTGCTGCATGGAGAGGACTCATATAAGAACATCAAATTCCAGCATTAAAATATATATGCTGGGACTGGAGAGATGGTTCAGTGGTTAAGAGCACTGACTGTTCTTACAGAAGACCCATGTTCGAATCCCAGCACCCACATGGCAGCTAACAACTCTCCGTAACTCCAGTTCCACCGGATCCTACGGCCTCTTCTGTCCTCCGCAGGCATTGCACAACAATGCTGGAATATATGCATAACAATATTTCCTTCAGTCTCTTTATGCTTCTGAAAGTTATAGCATTAGGCATACGATTTTGGCTAGGTGACTTCAATGCATGCTCTGATCACAAATATTTCTCATCTCTGAAGACAACACACAGACAATTCATTACCAGGAGTTGCAGTTTTCCTTAACCACTGATCCTTCTTCATAATGGTGACCATGTCTGAAGCAACCTGTTAACACAGCATGCAAGCAAATGAGAATTCTGAACTCAATAAACAACATTCACATGACAAGTTATTTAAGATTGCCATTAGGTTTTGAAAATGAAAAACTACTTAATGCCAATACAACTGAAGTCTGATCTAGTTTGTCTCAAGATTTACATATCAAATTTTCTGTGTTTTTTTCCATGAGATTTTGTCTTTACACTGTATAATATGCTGTAAAATAGAGGATTTTAAAGCATGAAAACAGATTATTGTGGAATTAATCACTAGGTAAACTATCCTGAAATAATATATTTAAATATATGATGGAAAAATACCTTAATTTATGACTTTTTAAAAAATAATAACCAAGTAAGTAAGTAGCTTTAACAGAAGATCACTAGAGTCCAGAACTGTGGCCCCTAACACAAAGCTATGTCAGTGAATTTTCCTGACAAGTATTTTTTTTTTCCAGTGTTTTGAACAAGAGAGAAAAAAATCTTGAAATCAGTAGGATTGGAGCCATTTGTCTTTAAGTTCCAAATGCCTCTTAACTGAAATAGATTGACTGATTTATAAGATTATGTAAAATATCCAAAGGAAATCAATGATGAATCGGGACAACATGAAAACCATCAGTAAAGTCTCCCAAGTAAAGTTCTATGAAAGAAATAACCAGCTTACACATCATGTCATTTTTGAAAATAAGATTTCTGTAAGTTTAAAAAGAATGCTTAATTAGCAAAAGGAATCCCTCTGTGTAATGAAACATTTTTAAAACAAAAATACATCATTGATGTGTTACATCAATGGTCCCTAATAATACAAAAGAAATTCTAAACTTTTGTTCATAAACTTACAAGGGACAATACAAGTTTCAAAAAGTCTCCATGGAGCAGGGTATGGTGATACAAGCCTTTAGTCCCAGCACTCCGGAGGTAGAGACAGGCAGATCTCTGTGAGTTCAAGGCTAGCCTGGTCTACACAGTGAGTTCAAACAAACAAACAAACAAATTCTCCAAGGGAGCTGATTTAATGGCTAGACATGATGTCAAAAAAAAGAAAAAAAAAAAAAAACAGCTTCTGGTTTCAAGTCCTTTGATTTAAAAAAATAAAAGTTAGGATCTGAGTATATAACCTGAAATAACTGCAGAAGCCAGGAAATCAAGAAAGGAATATGTAGGGGAGAAGGAACTCCAGAGAAGAGGCTAGTAGGATGCCAATTACAGAGAAGGAAGTAGGAACAATGGGTGATCTTTAGCTGAGGAGTGGGGAGGTGGGGTAGTACAGAGGGAGGAGAAAGGAGAGATAACACTGAGGGTGTCAGAAAAAGCCATAGGAAAACATTTTTAAACTTACTTAAAAGTACATTACATATATGATATATATATATATATATGTGCGAGTGTGTGTGTGTGTGTGTGTGTGTGTGTGTAGCTCTAAGCTATCTAAAAATAATCCCAGTACCAAACATGGAAAAGCACTCTTTGAGTTGCTTGTCAGAGTCATCCAAAAGACTCCCCAAACAGTATAGGCTATTGCCCTTGAACTTGAAGACAAGTTAAATAAGACCTGATTGTACAGACACCATACACTTCAGACACAGGACATGGAAAAATTAAGGTACAACTGACCTAGAAACCTCCTTCCTGAAGGCTAGCACTCATATCAGAAAGTGCTAAGCAAGTGGCCAAGGGGCAAAAGCAGTCAACAGTCCCACCCAGCTCTAAAGCCTATGAATAACCATGGCAGGCCTTGGCAAAATATCCCTAACAGTACAATAGTGTCATTTTCATATTGGGGGTAACCAACAGCTGTCTAATTGTACATAAGGGCCACTAAATAGGAGGGAATTCATTCCTGGAACTGTAAACCTATCCAACTATCCATGGTTGAAGAGCTCAGAGGAGAATTTACTATAGCCACTTTTGTAAACCAATACAATTTTTAACTATATTCTAAATACTTATCCTTATAGCCACAGATACATGTAGCTCTCACTGCTCATTAGAGGAGCTTCTTTTTCAAACAGTTGGAGAATATTACAGAGATATCTTAACTGGCCAAAATGCAGAGAATAAGTGACTGTGGGGTACCCAGCCAGTATATCTCTAATGTAACAATAAGGCTCAGGGAACATGCTGGAAACACTGTAGGAGCCAGAGGACCAGGACACCTGCCCTAGACAGTGTCTTCTAGACATGACAGCAAAGCTAACCCAAAGGAATTTCAACAATATAATGCCCAAACAAGACTTGCACAATGACAATCCAGTTTACATGCCAACGTGGACACGGGAACATTGGGAAAATTCAGAGTCCCACTTCTGGATGAAGAGCTACAGGCAGTCATGGCTGCTAAGGAGGGGAATCAGTTGTCTCCAGGTGAGATTCTTGAAACACTGTGCACTTCCAAGTGCTCAGCCCTCATCACAGGTACACACAGGCACCACTAAAGGGACTCAATAGATTTTATATAGGTGTGTATATAAATATAATATGTACGTATAGACATATAATGAAATAAGAGGTCATCAAATTGAGAGGGAGTGGAGTGGAGGAAGGTGGAGGGGAGGGAGGTTAGAAATGATGCAGGTGCAGAACTCATACATGAAATTCTCAAAACAAAATTCAGTAAAACATCCAGAGGAAGCATTTCAGAACTTTCCCTTTTGCACAGAGTGGGTTTTGCCATTTAGTACTCTGTTTCAGGAACTAACTCTCCCTGTATGTGTATCTATTCACCCTTTTCCATGGAAATTTGGTATTCCACAATCATGGACTGGTCTCTCCTAACCAGCCATTTCTCAGTAAGGCAAAGCCAAGTAAAGGGGAGATTTAACTCTAAATCAAGTTTAAAGTTTTAATTGCTACATAGGATAAGTTAATTTTAATAACTCAGTTGACATATGTTTTTACAGACCCTAGAATATTTTTGTCTAAGGACAACAGAAATATTTATAACTATCCAAATGCTCATTAAAATGCACAGGAAGTATGTCCCTGACCATACTCAAAGAAAGAGTAGGGGCCAAAAGGAGATTTTCAGTCATACCCATGAAAATGGAGGGGTTCTTTTATAGCAGTTTCCTCCTAGATAAAACCTTCTATCTTGGAGGGAAAATCTCTATGACAAAAGGATGCTCTAAAAAGTGGTAAACAACACAATATGTCCTAAAGGGAAGTAAACTACAGGATATTCTGAAAAGAAGTAAGCAACTCCATAGCTTCAGGAAGTTCCTGAAGCTGACTGAGTTCATTAGGCACCCCTCTCCCCAGAAATGTATAAGACCTGTGGGCTACTGAGAGGCACCATTGGACAAGTAGCACGACCTGAAAGGCTGTCAGACAAGCCCAGCTGCATGGAAGGCACAGGGACTAATGGCCTGGAAGAAGCTCAGACTAACTGAATAGGTGGAAATGACACTCTCCAACCTGCTGAGCTGCTGCAGCTGGTACAGTGAGCTCCAGGTGTTCTGCTTTTGTGAGCTGTCACTCATGCTGGGGTAGAATTTGGGTGATGCAGCTGTGTTTGAGTTAGTTCTGCTCCTGTAAGTGACTGTCGTACCTATTCCTGTAAGTAACTCCAATAAAACTGCCCCACGTTGGTCTTCGATGGCGTGCTTGCTCTGGTCTCTCTGATTTTCCTTCTAGGGTAAGTGGCTGTTTGCGCATGTCTCCAGGAATAATTAACTATTAGAGGCTGCGTTCAGTTTCATCTCACCGGGAACAGGTGTCTGGACAATACCAGGACCTGTTTCCTTTGATGAAGACCAAGGTGTTAGTGTATGAAGCAGTGACTCACGCACAGCACAGAAAGGTCCTCTCCGTCCCTGGTCACTCACTCTCTAAGTCCTCACTCCTCACTCAGCTGACTTTTAAAATCTACATCATGGTACTTCCTACTTCAAATGCTCCAGATTGTTTCCCATTTAAGCTTAAATAAAATCAAGTCCTTAGAGTGATTTAGAAGGCCTTACTCTAAATGTTTCTTCCCTAATCTTTGCACTCATGACTCCTGAGCTGGCACTGATGGTTTCCCAGAAGAATGAAGAATTAGCATGACATTATCAAGGGCAGAAATAAGTGGACAGATACAATTTGGAGGTGAGGCAAACAGGATTCACTCTTAGAATTAGTTTGGGTGATATGGAAAATGAGGCATTAGGATGTCTCGTTAGAATTTTCACAAGAGCAGTGGAGGAGGAGCCATGCCAGGGTAACACAGCTGCCACCGTAACAAAGAGCATGGAGTTACGACATGGTTGTACCTTGAAATGAAGCCTCCAAGGCTGCAGGTATATCTCAGTGGTAGAGTGCTCACCTAGCACGTGAAAGCCCTGAGCTCTGTCTTGCATATTTGAGCTTTATATTAAATCTAGATTAATCATCTAAATGGAGGTGTTGGGAGCAGTTTATACAAACCCAGAAATAGCATCATGTGTTAACATGTTTCTTAAAACCTGAGAATAAAAGTCTATCAGAGTAGTATATTTAGTCAGAAAAAGTGATCGAGGACTGAGCTAAAATACCCCATGTGACAAATATTTAGAAGAAACTGGGAAAGTAATAATGTGTGGATGCAGCCAATTCAAGAGAGGTTGGACGATGGAAAAAAGGAAGTATTTCAGGCAAGCGAAAAGTCCAGCCATGTACAAAATTACAGAATGGTAAAGAACAAGAGAGCACTGATGTTGTGAAGTTGCCAATGGCTTTATCAAGAAAGACATCAGTAGAACAACAGAGTGGGAAAGGGCTGATGAGGGACTTGGAAGAAAGGAAGCAGTATTTTTTTTTTTCAGATATTTTGCTATTACCTGGACGAAGGAAAATAAGAGAGAACTGCATAAGAACATAGAGTCAAAGAAGAACATGTTTAAGTTGGGAGATTTAAAAACACATTGTGAAAACTAATGGTTAATCCACAGAACGAAAAATGTATGCATGTTTGTGGACATAGATGATGATGATAGGTGATAGATACGTGATAGATAGATAGATAGATAGATAGATAGATAGATAGAT